CGGATCAGTTAGTTTAACTCTTAAAGAGAGAAGACAGTTCTCTGTCAGTCTGAAGAGGTTAACAGGACATGAATATCACCTTCCTCTGAAGGGGGAAGATCGGCTTTAAGGTGGCTTAACCTTTAAAAACATGTCTGCTGCAGGGGGAGAAACAGACACTCACACATATTTAACTTAACGAAGGGTCACAACAAAGAAGAACTCAATAAGGAGTTATCATAAGCATGACAAAAACACAATTATACAATAAAGGAAGAATGTGCAACTTTTTGATCCAGTAGATGTCGCCCTTGAGCTCCAGCATGAAACCAAAACAACTGCTGTTAGGCCACGCCTCCTCCATACTGAAGCCTCCACTCTCCTCCAGAGACACACCTCCAACCCCTCCCTCCACTCACCTTCACACGACGGAGTTATCAATCAGAACGGTGGACAAACTTGCCCAATGCTTGAGCTGCATTGTTGTGTTAGCATGCTAATGTAGCACTCTTTAGTTAGCTCGTAGCTTCACATTGTTGTTGTTAGCATGCTAATGTTAGCACTCTTTAGTTAGCTCGTAGCTTCACATTGTTGTGTTAGCATGCTAATGTTAGCGCTCTTTAGTTAGCTCGTAGCTTCACATTTCATGTAAACTGACACAGAATGAGCGTGATCTAAAAACTCTTACTAACATCCAAATAATCAGTGAGTATGTTCTTCTTCTTCTTCTCTCTATTTTGACTAAAACAGCTTTTATACACAAGGGGAGGAGCCGGCCGTCCCGTCCATGTAAACACGGCTCTGACAACAACACAGCCAGCGGACTCGAGCTTCTCCCTCATTGTAGACTAATTTAGAAAAAACCTAGAAGCTACTTCATCAAACTACGTCTCAAAGAAAGAGATTGTCTGTTACTTTAAACAGTGAATCCATTTTATAAAATACCTCATAAAATAACAGGATCTGACGAAGTGAAGGAATGAACTCATAACAAAGAAACACAGGTGTTCAATCAAGTGATTGTTTTCTATTTCCAGGTTGGACTTAAGAACACGTGTTTGTCTCGTCTCTCTGCGTGTCTCTGATGAACCTCCAGAATAAAAAACACAGCGAGCTCAAGCTTGAGAAGAATCCGTAAACCACAGCCGGTTTGTGGTTTGTTATTTTAAACACGCCTCGCTTCTCGTCGACCGTTAATAAGTCATGTTGAGTTGGTTTGGCAACATGTGACAACATATTCTCCACAACTCTTGGCACACAGTCTGACCCTGTTGTCACATTGTTGTGAATCAAAAACAGACCGGACCGGGTTATGTAATCAGACTAATTCTGGATTCAATAATAAAATTATGAGAATCTTCATACTTTACCAAAGGTTGTAATCGGAAGGGGAATCATTCAGCGTCCATGAAAGGGGTTTAAGTTAAAGTGAAATATATTATCCTCACTTTAATCATTAATGATGTCAGTCTGGGACACCTACAGAGTAACACTGAGGGATGTGTAGCTCATAAATCTCCTTATTTATCTGATACTGACGTCAGAAAAATCACTAATTTCAGCCTCTGCCTGAAACACTTCATTTCAGCTCCTGTCTCTTTAAGTATGGATCAGTGTAGTAGATCTCCTTTAAGATAAAGTTCTTCAAAGTGATGAAAAGTTGACTGTAAGTAGAGTTGAAGTAAAGACCACACTGACCCAGAGACCGAGACAAACCGAGACCAGAGGGCTCGGAGACCAAGACATTTAGGATCGAGACCGAGTCAAGACCAGAAATATAAAATCATCATGTTGTTTGCAGGGGGCGTGTCCCTCATTCAGAGCGTAACACCGGAAGGTTGAGGCTGTAACCGGGTGAAAAACCAAACTACAGATGAACTGAAGTTATTTGTTGTTTTAGAAAGTCACAGTAAAGATGTGAGAAAGAAGCTGATCAGTGTCTTGACAGGTTTTGTTTTTAAATCTGGAATCCGGCCGAGACAAGACCGAGAAAAAATGCTTTTGATTCCGAGAAAGAGATCTTCAAAAAGTGGTCAACAACTAACTGAAAGCGTCTGTCTTCACTCTGAACAGGAACAATCTCTGCTTTTTCCTCGTCATGCTGAGTGAGAGTCTGTCAGTCATCAAACAGCCGCCTAGCAGACAATGGAGAGCACTTTAGCCTGTGCTGCACACACACAAACACACACACAAACACACACACAAACACACACACAAACACACACACAAACACACACACAAACACACACACAAACACACATTTTTTGGCATTTTAACCCCGCACAAAGACGGCCTGTGAGACGAACAACTTCTCCAAATTCTTTAGAAGAAGCCAAAGTTTCCAGGAACAGACTGAACCAAAGGATCAACGACCCTTCAAACGTTTAAAACACGAGATATTCTTAGAAATAAAACAAATCCAATCACGGGCAAACCGAGGAACACTCGTTCTCCACACTTACAGGGAGACATAGAGGGGTGTGGTGCACGTCTCTTCCTGACAACCACTTTCATTCAACTTGACTTTTACTTAAAAAAGATTCTGCAGAAGAACGCTTTGTGGAGAAAAGAACACAAACAGAGTGTTTCTAAAGAAGCAGCTGACGTGAGACGAGTCAGAGCAACAACAGGTCAGAGGCAGCGTGCAGCGATGATGTCACACCAATGATTAGAAGCGAGTGTGATTACAGGACTGAACGTTCCCATGTAATTTAAGTTTCAGTGTGTGACTGCAGCAGGATTCAGAGGAGGTGAAGGAAGGGCTGAAATACAAAGAAAATCTCTTCTTCATTTCATCTTCATCGCAAACGTTCTCTGAGCAAATCCTGAGCATTTGGACAACCTCAGAGATATCTATAATCTATCAATCTAAAGTGCTCATCAGCGTGTGCACTTTCTAAGGAAGCTTAGGAATTTTAATGTTGACAGCTCTTTAAGAAGATGTTTCATTGAATCAGTTTTAACTTTCTGCATGGTGACCTGAGCATTGTTAAACTGTGTGTCAGACCCACAGGACCACCCCTCTCTCACCTTTCTCTTTTATATAAAACAAACTTAAGAAAGCTCAGTCAATCTGAGCAGATCAGAGTCATCCTTTGTCCAAAGACTGTAAGTAGCTGCCGTCAGGCTGCAGGACAAAGAGGAGGAGGAACTCATTTGTTCCTGCTGCCATCACCTTTCTAAACCACTCACTGTGTTTCCTCAGTTTCCATCTGTCTCTTAACTATTGTGTTTATTTATTGTCCATTCTTTGTTGTTTGCTGATTGCAGGCTGTGTGTGTTTTGCTGCTGACTGCAAGACAACCTTGAACCTTGAAAATGTAACACTACTGTAGTAAAGATCACTATTTTGTTTCCTTTCACTTCCTCTCTTTTCCTACTGCACCTCCTTTAGAACACTTCCTGGTTACTCCCTTTCTCCTCCGTGATTGGTTACTGCTTGTCTTTCATTAGTTAGACTGAATTCACCTGCACTCATCTTTTCATCCTCACATGGGGCGGCAGTTCAGCACTGGTAAGGTGGGTTTTACTCCTATTTTAGTTTCTATCTAGTCCACTTTAATTTATCTTCATTTATCCATTCATTCATTAGTTTTGAGAACTTTATGCAGTTATGTTTCCTCAAACTTGTTTTTAAATGTATCTGGCCCCTGAACATCTCTCCAGATGCGTTCAAAGACAGGACGGAAACCGGGTAACAAGAAGCACTGTGAATGGAAACTGTATCGTACAACATGGTAGATCTACGTTTGGTCAATCAGCCTTCTCCATCAAACGCTGTAAACTCTGGAACACATTACCACCTGAAATGAAATGAATCTCAGACTTAAAATCTTTTACAAAACAGATGAAATGCTCAAAGCAAGCCAGAGCTGTACCCACTTTTAATTAATATCTTCAAACTTTATTTTAAACTTTATTTTAGCATTTGTATTGTTGTACATGTATTTTGATGTATCCTCATATTGTGTTATGGGGTTTTGAAATGATGTTAAATTGCATTGTCCCTATTAAATAAATTCAATTCAATCCCTATTTCTTTCAGAAAGTAAATCTAATTTTACTCGTTTATTCTGCTAATAATATTGTATTTGTCTTTCAGCACTGATGTTTGAAACATCCAGTCTGTGTTTTTCTGTTACCCTCGTTATTTAACCAAACTGGACGTAAAATAAACCTGTGTATCTGAAACTCAAGTTTCCTTTCTGGATTCCTGCATCCTGACACGATGCCCCCATGGTGATAGCATTTCAAGTCTGAACCCTTCCTAACAGCTATGTTTAAGAGGCACAGTCTGAGCTGGGCGGTGTTTCAGAACGTTTTCCCAGCAGAGAGATATAACTGCTTGAGAGATCGACTGAAGATAAGGTTGTCACTCCAGAAAACGATTAAAGAAAGTAATCACTGTAAACCAAGATATATGACATCAAAGCGGCCGTCAAGTGGAGAGAACCGACCTGTTTACAGTCCCATATACATGACGCTGCACGCTCACATCGGAGGAATGCACCCGCCCACAGCATTCACCTGAAAGTGGACACACCTGTGCTGAACACCCCCTCCCTGATTGGTGCATCGGGGTTGAGACAGTTGCGTTGCTCTGTGATTATTATGAACAAAGTGGAGTTTTAACAGCGTGAGCGAGGAGGCAGCAGGGTGGAGCTGCTCGTACAGACGGAGAGCAGTGCGTTCCCATGTCGAGGCTTCATGTGGACGGGTGTGAACCAGCAGACTTCACCCCCCCTCCCCCCCCCCACCACCCCCCCGTCTGTTTTTTCCTTCTTTTGTGTTTGTCCTGCTGGAGAAACAGCTCCATGTTCTACCTTCATGTTAAACCTCACTGGCTCACTGCTGTGTGTGTGTGTGTGTGTGTGTGTGTGTGTGTGTGTGTGTGTGTGTGTGTGTGTGTGTGTGTGTGTGTGTGTGTGTGTGTGTGTGTGTGTGTGTGTGTGTGTGTGTGTGTGTGTGTGTGTGTGTGTGTGTGTGTGTGTGTGTGTGTGTGTGTGTGTGTGTGTCTTTACCTCCACCTCCTCGGGCTCAGGGCTCCTGGACGACTGGCTGAACACTGACGACTGTCCGCTGACGCTCTAAAGAAGAAGAAGAAGAGACTGTCACATTCGACCAATAATGAAAAATCCTCAGAACGAAAATGCAACTTTTATCCTTTAGCTTCAGAAAATGTTTTAGTATCATGTTAAATGCGTTATTAAAAAAGTTATTTTTTTTGTTTTCTGGCCTCTCACCACAGTTCACACCTCGAGGGTTTGATCCCTGGCTCCTGCAGCTACATGTCCGATGTGTCCTTGGGAAATACACTTAAACCCAAGTTGCTCCCACTGCTTTGTCTGTAGCGTGTGAATGGACGGTGTAAAAGTGCTTTGAAAAGTCAGAAGACTAGAAAATAAATGAACAAGCTCAAGTCCATTTACCATAAATAAATGCTTCAGGTGTTAAGTTAAAGGGCAGCTCTTAAAATATCTGTTTACTTTTTGCCTCCAAAGCTCTCCTCTGCTCATCTCATCGTCACAGTAATCTAACCATTACTGCAGAGTTCAACAGGTCGCTCTAAAGGTTTCACAGGTTTTAGATATTGAACGTTTACACTCATCAATGGAGGAGAATTAAATGTTAAAGTGAGCTTCAAACAATTGGAAGCGTTGAAACGTAACATTTTAAAAACTAAACTAAAGGTTGGCCTGTAGAACGTTTTTCTTTTCATGAAACCAAACTGTCCAAAGCAGAGGAAAGACACTTATTCCCCTTAAATACTCAGTACTTTATTCTAAATGCTTGATTTGTCTGACATCCATCCACATCATCTTCTGCTTATCCCGGGGGGGGGGGGGGGTTCGGGGTAAACCCTGCAGTCTAACCTCTGATCATCAACATGTAATCTGACAGAAGTGATCCGACCAGGTGGAAGAATGTTTGTGTTTGTCTTCAAATGTCAGGGCGTGCCGCGTCAGCAGAGTGTAACCGGGTGTGGCGGTGCATTTCTATCAAACTCGCCAGGATGATTAGACTCTGAGCGCTGAGACTCAAACAGCTGACAGTAAATCATGAAGGTGTGAATCCTGGTCTGAAAACAGGAGCTCAGAGCGGTCAGACATGGGAGGATATGGGACAGATTTATTTATTTGTTAAGTAGCAGCAGAGGAGGAGAGCAGATGTTATCCAAAGTGTTGAATGACTTGTACTTGTGTGTGAATCATCCAAGGGGGCAAAGGTCGCAGCATTGAGGAAACTAATGTTAATCAGAACCAGGGAGAGTCTTCTGGTGAACCATAAAAAAAACGCTGGTGACTCGTAAAAAGTCATGAATGAGGAGGAAGAGAGCCGTGTACATGCTGTAACAACAAACCACACAGATCGACTGATGAGCAGGAATAAACTATTAATAACGCCCCATTACATCATATCAAACTGACACAGAGTCCATGTTAGTCTACGAGCAAACCGGGAAGTGAACGATATGTTAAAGACAGCAGATCTCGACCTCTGCAGATAAAATGCAGTTATCAGAAAACAGGTTACTCTTATGTTTTGCTATTTTGTGTTTATTTTGTCTGTTTTATTTTTATTTTTTGTCTTTGTTTATTTGTTCTCGCTTTAGTTGTCACGTCTATGTCATTGTTGCGACCTAGAAATATTTGTATGCAATTCAATTTGACAGAAGAAAGATTTGTAGTGAATAGTGAATTGTCCTGATTTTTTTATATTGTCTACATACTGTATCTCCTGTTTTGCTCTATTTTTATGTTTTCAATGTTTGTATGTAATTTCCAATTGGGTAAATTTTATTTGTGATAGTAAATATTTTTACTTTATTATTTTTACTGTATTTTATTTTAACTTTGTTCAATCTCTAAAGGTGAGCCCTCATGGGTTTTTACCTCACCTTTATTTTTTATTTGTTTAAATTTTTTGTTTGACTCTTCTTTCAAAAACTAAAACTGAAGTACTGTATATAATATTATTTCACATTTGTTTAATTTGTTAATTAAAAAAAACATACAGGTACTGTAATTTCATGTTTAGTTTACACAGAAATTACAAAGTTGTTATTCACTCTTTTAATTTTAAGTTTTGATATATGAAGTCATCGGCCTGCGTGCAGAGGTGACGTAAATGGTCGGGGTCGTGGTCAAGAGATGAATGCGCATGTATGCCGTTTTTGTTGTGAGGACCCGATGCTTCTTAAAGGGCCGGCTGACTCCTCCCCTCGTGTATAAAAGTTGTTTAATTGAGGGACTAGAGAAAAGAAGAATAACATACTGTACTCACTGCTTAACTGTGTTTCTAGATCACGCTCATTTCAGGTCAATTTACATGCAGTGTGAAGATACCAGCAGAATAAAGATCGCTAGCATTAGCATGCTAACACAACAATGCAGCGCGAGTTGTTTTGGTGTCATGCTGGTGCTCAAGGGCGACATCTGCTGGATCAAAAAATCCCATATAAAGACTTTAATAAAGATAATCATAAAAAAATACAGCACCGGGAAGAATAAAGTTGCCAAACGGAAGACAGAGTCCTGCCTGTTCTTTTCATAGGTGCAACATTATGTCTCTATATTCTTGTTTCATTTTGTTCACCTTGTCACCAATAAAAAAAATAAATTAAAAACAAAAACAGGATACTCTTATTTAACCAGGGAAATGAATAACCAGGTTTCTCTGCATGTAAACAACATATCCTGAATACGATCAAAAACCTGGATACACAAGTTCATGTTAATGCTCTCCATGTAAGATTTCAGTACTTTACGGTATTCTACCGTAGTTTGCAAAAACACATGTTCTCCTCTGATGGTTGCACGCTGACATTTCTTCTTCTTCACCACCACAGCTCATCTTTCTGTCCATCACATGAACATATTTATCTCTGATCATTAGCTGTGAAAACTCGGAGCAGAGTGTCACAATCAATAACGCTACGTGCTAGCTTGAAAACATGCTAACACCACTAACACTCATGTTGACCTCTGACAAGCGAGCCGGATTGTGACCGACACAATAATTAACTGCCTGAGATGTTTGTCACAGCCAGATGTGATTGCTGACTGATTTATGTGTGAACTTTTTTTTTTCAAAACACGAGACGGCAGTTCGAGATCGACGATGACATTCAACGGGAACCCGACAAGAAAACGTCTGGTACCTCGATGTTGCACTTTAACAAACCTTGATGATGCCGGATCATAGCTCATGTTTAATAATTAACAGGAATTATGGCAACCGTCATCGTCCTACTAAAAAACACACAGACTTCAAGATCCTGGTTCTGATCAGGTTTTTAAGAATGCCGATTGTGTGTTTGTGCATCTAAGACAATGACATATTGGTTTCCCCGGCGCCAAAGTTATGGACTTGGTTCGACAAATCCCGACTCCTCAGGCAAGAAATGTTATCACCCCCGTATGACACCTCCAATCAAGAGTGAGATACTGCAGCGCCATTTTAACCCGATTTTTAAATTACTGAATGACTGCAAAAAAAACTGTTTTTATCTCTGGACCGATCCCCTCGTTCCATCGAGGTGGAACCTGGATAAATCTCCAAACCAGAAAACTCAAGTGCCTGTTAACGCACTCTGTTAGGTCTTTCACACCTGCAGAAAACTCCTAAAAAAACTCCTGATATTTCCAGGAGGAGCAGCATGTGTGAACGCAAACTAATTTTTCGCTGTGACTTCACCCGGAGTTTCTCCTCTAGCTTTCCCGTATTTTTTGTGCAGAAGGTCGGAGTGAGCTGATGTGAGAACGCAGCAGGATATTCTCCGGAGAATTCACCTCCAGCCAATAGCAGGGGGGACGGAGGGCTCATATTTTCACTTTTCCTTTTTCATCGCTGTTCAATCAAGAAGTGGGTATTTTTGACAGATATCCAAAGTTTATGTTGTGTGAAGCCTCGAAACACAGCAGTGCAAAAATCATTCTTTCGATTAAAGTCTGCAACTTAATCTGCTGAGAGATGTTTGGTTTGCAAAAGTCTGTCGGGCTCATGTGGAATCTGGAAGGACCGCTCTGCACAACCACAGCTTGGATGATTTAAGACAACATGAAACCAAAACCAAACTGAAACATCGAGCCTGACTGTTTGGATTACTTGTTCGATTCCCAATGACTCCCATCAACATCCGGGGAAACATTTGACGATGTTTTAAGGTAGAACATGATAACTCAGCTTCTATGTGGCAAACCTTCAGCCACATATGAGCTAACAATGCTAAACAGTTGTGTTAGCTTTTCAAATAATCAAATATGTTGTTTCACCTTCTAACTTGGCAAATGTCCTTCTGGATTTTCATCATCCGTTTTGATCCATGAACACACAGAGTTCACCTCAATACCTTAATAACATAAGCCTGTTTTATCCCAAATAACAGAGTCAGACATGAGCTGCACTTGTGTTAATTTATCATCTCTGATTTAAATGTGCGAGTTTGCAAATTCAAAGGCAGACCTTAAAAATAAAAGGAGAAGTCGATTTTCTTTTTCATCAAATGACGAGGCTGGTGCCGTAAGATGAGAAGATATAGCAGCTTTGCAGACCTCATATTTAGTTTGGATGGTTTTATATCTTAGAAATAGAAAAAGTGGGTAGTTATACACACATGATGTAGGAGCAGGGCGATGCAAAATCAGCAGACTGAGGAAGAAGAGAGGCCCGCACACTCAACCTGAAGTCTTCTTCAGGTGATACTTTTTGAAATTAATGAAAATGATCACCTGAAGAAGACCTCAGGTCTAAATGTTGAGATAAATTAAAACTTTTTGTTGCATTTGAGCAAAGTGTACAGGCCTCTCTCCTTCCTCATATCGAATACACAATTATTTTTTAAATAATATCAGCCTACAAATGTAGAGCCAAATAATTTCTAAATAGTTTGAATCCAGCAAACTTAATGAGCTCCTCTTCAGACTTGAAGCATGAAGTTTCTGTAAATCTCAGCACAAACCCACATAGTGATTCAAAATGTATTTTCTGTTTGCTTGATAACACACTGAGGCCATTTCAAATATAAAGTGTTTGAGACTGATTTCAGTTCTTTACTGTAAACAGATCATTGTTGAGTTTACGCAGTTTGTAAAAATTCTTTGAATGAAGTTGTTTGTTGTGCATGGAGTGAAATGATGTTGGGGGAACTTTAGCTGCAGGGGTTTGATGGTTACTGAAAGCAGCTTGGGTGCTTGTTGTTATATAACACAGTTTATACCCACTGCACTGTCTTTCAGCATCACTTTGTACAGTTTACATTTTCATTATAAAAGACGAGTTTAACATTCAGAAAGTCTTGCTCCAGTCCAAGTTTTTTAACAGTTATCACATTGAGCATTTGAATGCAGAATGAAGTTTGGGGGCTCACCTCCAGGGTGCTGCGCTGCAGGTACATGTCGGTGTCCTGGCTGCTGACGCTCAGGTGCGTCATACCCTGCAGGTACACCGGAGAGACCATCTGCTGCATCATGGGCTGCTGGATCATGGGCTGCTGCATCATGGGCTGCTGGATAATATGCTGCTGCATCATGGGCTGCTGCATGAGCACGAAGGACTGCTGCTGCTGCTGCATGGCCTGCTGCACCGGGACCAGGTACCTCACCGTCTCGTAGTTACCGTTCAGCGCGTGCGGCAACGGGGACACCGACCCGGCGGACATCACCGTGCTGGTCACCGTGCTGGTCACCGGCTCCGGAGAGGCCACTTTGACGGTGCGGTAGGTCGTAGAAGTCGTCTTGTGGCGCGAATTAACAGACATGTTGATGAAGTGGATCCGAGCTTAGATCCCGCACAAGAAAAGTAAAAAAAAAGAAGTTTCTCTAAAGCGTCGAAGTCGCTGCGGGAGAAAGCCGCGCAGGTTCCACCTCAGGTTGGTTCCTTGGAAAGGTTTTTTCAGCTGTGGAGGAGCGGAGACTTGATCCACCCCTGGTTGTTTAACTTCCTCCTCTGCTGGGTAAACTGGGAGAGGAAAGTCCGGTTGGAGGAGTATCTGCACAGAGAGGAGGACCGAGGGAGGTGCTCTGCTCACCGTCATGCAAATAATAATATCTGACACATCAGGAGGTGGGAGGTGGGAGGGATCAGAGGAGACAGCTGTCTAAAGTTTACCTGTCACTCTGACATACAGACCTACAGGTAGCCCGGTATATTTGGCAACTAGAACTAAATCTGTTTTATGTGGATTTATGTTTTAACCTCAAGTGTTCTTATATTCCCAAAACACACAGATTGGACTATTCAAACCAAATTAATAATGACGTCATTGTCCTGCAACAAGTGTCTGCATTTGTGATTTGCAGACAGGGTTAAATTGTACTTTATTGAAGTAAGAATAAACTGCAGAAAGTAAAGAAGCGTCTGTGTGTGATGCAGCCACCAGGGGGAGACAAACAGCAACTCATGACTAAATAAACATTTCAGGGAGCAGGATAAAAAACTAAATTTACCTGAATTTCAACGCAGGTAGAGGATATCAAAACATTATCACTGCAGGCTGGGGCTTGACTCAGTTGTTTCCAATACCAATCAAATCTGCTGGATTAATGAACAAAATAAGATAAGTGACGAGAAGTAAGGCAGACATGTCCTAATTAGATTTAAATCTGATTTAGATATTTGTTATGTCATAACCTTTCTCGTGGGTCATCATGGCAAAAGATGGGATGAGTCAGAAGTTTATTAAAAAAAAAAACGTATAATATAATACAAAACTATAATATGGAATCCCATTTCCGCCAGTTAAAAAAAGAAAAATTGAAAATTCAGAAAATTATGAGATAAAGATCAAACATTTTGAATGTAGTCTTCAATGTGACCGTGATGCATCCTTGAATGTCATAATTATGACTTTATTATCTCATAATTTCTTTTTATGGTCAAAAAAAATCTCAACAAAGCCAAGTTTTCATTTTTCTTTTTTTAACTGGCGGAAATGGGCTTCCATAAAACTAGTTAAATGAATCGATAACAAGAGTCATGAGGTGTGTTTTAATGTGTATCATCAGTGGTGAACGTGTTAAAGAGTGCACAAACTTAACTAAAGAATCAAATGTTGAAATGTTGGTCAGTCTGAGGGAGATCAGATGTCAGAGAGCCACAGCATCAATCAGAAAATCAATCATCTGACTGGAAAACAAACAAAAACAATTATAATCGTCTTGTTTCAGGCATGAAGTCAGTTCATCAAATCTATTAATTCAATAAAAAAACAAGAAAGACGTATGATTTAATGTTTTTCTTCTTTTCAGTATCACACTAACTCATGCTTGTTTCTTTCCCCGACTTTAAATCAATAAGACCTTACAGAGATCAACTTAAATATATATATATATATATATATATATATATATATATATATATATTCACGTCTGCTTCTTAGTGAAATGTCACAAAAAATGCCTGAAAATACAATTAACCGTTGTGTTTTTTTTAATTCTCATGAATCACTTTTCCTTTTTTATTAGTCGTTTATTTTAGCACTGGTTTAACTACAGGTGTTAAAAATAAAATCACAAATTTCAGTTCTACACTCTGTTGTTGAACATGCTCATAGGCTGAAGTACACACACACACACACACCTGTGGATATGCACTAATGGAGAGATGTCAGAACAGCGAGCGCTCCTGAGCTGCTTCAAGAGAACCTCACCAGTGTTCACCTCTGATACCAGACAAATTTACAGATTTGAACCTTGAACCAGCAACTCCCAGTTCCCAAACCAAGTCCCTACTGACTGATCTACTGCTGCCCACAAAATCCTTGTTCCCATACCGGGAGTTGAACCTGGGCCGCCTGGGTGAAAACCAGGAATCCTAACCGCTAGACCATATGGGAGTGCACAAACATAATTAACTAAAGAAACAAATGTAGGTGAGTCTGAGGGAGATCAGACTTCAGAGAGCCACAACATCAGAATCTACTGAATGAGGGAAACCAGCAGATCTTTACCCTGCTGTGACTGACCAATCAGAGCCATTCAGCACTGCCCTTGTACAGTAAGTACAGAGTCCCTAGCAGGGTATTTTTAGGGGTAGACCAGAGTGGCCCATGGTGCAGATGATCCTGCAGATGAGCGCCCAGCAGGACAAGCCTCCTGCAGCAGGCCAAAGACTACCAGAGTCCTGCATGGTGACGGGGTCATCACAGTAAATCATGGAATCACATCTTTCAAAAACCTGCCTCTTAGTAAAATGTTGCAACAAATGCCAGAAAATACAAATAACTGCTGTTTTCTAAACTTCTCATCATCCATGGTTTATGGTTTTTATCTGAACCACGTTTTTGATTAGTAGTTTATTTTAGCGCTGGTGTGATAGACAGGTGACTCACACATTGAAGATAAGATATCCTTAATTAATCCAGCGAGGGGAAATTCAGTTCTACACAGTTGAACATGCCACACACACACAGACACACACACACACAGGCTGAAATAAACACACATGCACAAACTGGATCCTTTGGACGTGCACTGACAGAGATGTCAGAGCTGCTCACAGCGAGCAGCTGCTGAGCTGATGGTGGTACCTGTTGCTCACCTTGGAAGTGTTCAGGAAGTAAACTGACATATTTCCAGATTTGATCCTTAACCAGCTACTCTCTAGTTCTGAGTATGAGTCCCTAAAGACTGATCTACTGCTGTCCCCAAAGTGCTTGTTCCCATACCGGGAGTCGAACCCGGGCCGCCTGGGTGAAAACCAGGAATCCTAACCGCTAGACCATATGGGACTTCAACAGGGAAACACCAATATAGACTGTATTTCATTCATATTTATATTTTACATTTTTGTGTAGCCTGCATATTATTTTCTGTATCTTATTTCTTTATTTTTTATTTGGTGATATTTGAACATTATTTTGGTGAAGGCTTGAAATAAACTTTTACATTTTTAAGCCTCTTCCTGCACTGAATCATTTCTATTTTGTTTGTGTAATTGTTTTTTACTGTGCAAATAATAATAAAAAAAACAATAAAATAAAATAAATGTCACTTGTCATCAATCAAAGTATCCAACATGTGAAAACAGAAGGTGAAAACACAAATTAGGCTACGTTGAATTTTTAAAACTTACAAATGTGTAATTATTTGAACATGTTTAGTAACTTTTTGTACTTATTTTGATTTGTTGTATGTTGTTTTTAGCTACATCTGAGTTTAATCTGCTTTAACTAACGAAGTTAATATTTATAATCAGTCTTTTTTTAGATTGTTGAACAAATATTTTCTATTTTTAAAGTTTAAGCGCAGACATTACCAATTCCCGTGCATTTAGTCAAATCTCGCGATACGCCACGAGTACTGTAAATGTTTTAGTCCAGTCTCGCGATACGCCACGAGATCTGTAAAGGTATCGTACCATGATATCCGTTGAGGAAGCGCTTTTGATTCATCGGGCACGATAATGGCCGCTATCCAACGTCGCTGTTGTTTTCTCAGCGGTCGAGTCTCCTTTGGAGGGTCATCGATGCTCACGTCGTCCTGAAGTCTCCATTTCATACGGTGAGAGAAAAGAAAGCAAATTAAGCTGCCAACACATCGTCCATCTTTATTCATCATCTGGTGTCGTCCTTCATCATCTGAGGAGAGCCGCCATCCTGCAGCCACCAAACCTCATGAGAGGAATATGTCATTTAATGATTCAGCGCTTTTTTATTAACTTACACTCATTTTAATGTTTAAATTCAGAGAACATCTGAAGGTTTAACACACACTTTTTAATTCGGCGTGTCTAAAATTGATATATACGTCATATTTTGTGTAAACTTTTGCCTTTAAAGTGGCTGTTTGCTCTCTTTTTAAAACCATTTAGAGAACGTTCATGTTTCTGAATCTGTGATCTTATGTTTATCTTAAAGGTAGCCTATCAAACATTAATGTACCTGTTTGGATAACCCAACCACATCTCTAAATGTCAAACGTCTATAAAGGTTGTTTTTTTGTCTAATGTTGATTATTCATGTGAATTTAATTGGTTTTGTAAATCATGTAATCGTTAATTGAACAATGTGTGTGACACTTGTCTTCTTCACTCATATTCAACATTTAAAGGCCAATAAAGATCCACTGAGCAGAGTGAGTCAGTGAGTCAGTGAGTCAGTGAGTCAGTGAGTCAGTGTTAGAGTGAGTCAGTGATTCAGTGATTCAGTGTTAGAGTGATTCAGTGATTCAGTGATTCAGTGTTAGAGTGATTCAGTGATTCAGTGTTTCAGTGTTTGAGTGATTCAGTGTTTGAGTGATTCAGTGATTCAGTGATTCAGTGTTAGAGTGAGTCAGTGATTCAGTGATTCAGTGATTCAGTGTTAGAGTGAGTCAGTGATTCAGTGATTCAGTGTTAGAGTGATTCAGTGATTCAGTGTTAGAGTGATTCAGTGATTCAGTGAGTCAGTGATTGAGTGATTCAGTGTTAGAGTGATTCAGTGATTCAGTGTTAGAGTGATTCAGTGATTCAGTGATTCAGTGTTAGAGTGATTCAGTGATTCAGTGAGTCAGTGATTGAGTGATTCAGTGTTTGAGTGATTCAGTGATTCAGTGTTTGAGTGATTCAGTGTTTGAGTGATTCAGTGATTCAGTGTTTGAGTGATTCAGTGATTCAGTGTTTGAGTGATTCAGTGTTTGAGTGATTCAGTGTTTCAGTGATTCAGTGATTCAGTGTTTGAGTGATTCAGTGATTCAGTGTTTGAGTGATTCAGTGTTTCAGTGATTCAGTGATTCAGTGTTTCAGTGATTCAGTGATTCAGTGATTCAGTGTTTGAGTGATTCAGTGTTTGAGTGATTCAGTGATTCAGTGTTTGAGTGATTCAGTGATTCAGTGTTTGAGTGATTCAGTGATTCAGTGATTCAGTGTTTGAGTGATTCAGTGATTCAGTGATTCAGTGTTTGAGTGATTCAGTGATTCAGTGTTTGAGTGATTCAGTGATTCAGTGTTTGAGTGATTCAGTGATTCAGTGATTCAGTGTTTGAGTGATTCAGTGATTCAGTGTTTGAGTGATTCAGTGTTTGAGTGATTCAGTGATTCAGTGTTTGAGTGATTCAGTGTTTGAGTGATTCAGTGATTCAGTGTTTGAGTGATTCAGTGTTTGAGTGATTCAGTGATTCAGTGTTTGAGTGATTCAGTGTTTGAGTGATTCAGTGATTCAGTGATTCAGTGTTAGAGTGAGTCAGTGATTCAGTGTTAGAGTGATTCAGTGAGTCAGTGATTGAGTGATTCAGTGTTTGAGTGATTCAGTGTTTCAGTGTTTGAGTGATTCAGTGATTCAGTGTTTGAGTGATTCAGTGTTTGAGTGATTCAGTGATTCAGTGTTTGAGTGATTCAGTGTTTGAGTGATTCAGTGATTCAGTGTTTGAGTGATTCAGTGTTTGAGTGATTCAGTGATTCAGTGTTTGAGTGATTCAGTGTTTGAGTGATTCAGTGATTCAGTGTTTGAGTGATTCAGTGTTTGAGTGATTCAGTGTTTGAGTGATTCAGTGATTCAGTGTTTGAGTGATTCAGTGTTTGAGTGATTCAGTGATTCAGTGTTTGAGTGATTCAGTGTTTGAGTGATTCAGTGATTCAGTGTTTGAGTGATTCAGTGTTTGAGTGATTCAGTGTTTGAGTGATTCAGTGATTCAGTGATTCAGTGAGTCAGTGATTCAGTGAGTCAGTGATTCAGTGTTTGAGTGATTCAGTGATTCAGTGATTCAGTGTTTGAGTGATTCAGTGAGTCAGTGTTTGAGTGATTCAGTGTTTGAGTGATTCAGTGTTTGAGTGATTCAGTGTTTCAGTGATTCAGTGATTCAGTGTTTGAGTGATTCAGTGTTTGAGTGATTCAGTGATTCAGTGAGTCAGTGATTCAGTGTTTGAGTGATTCAGTGTTTGAGTGATTCAGTGAGTCAGTGATTTCAGTGATTCAGTGAGTCAGTGTTTGAGTGATTTCAGTGATTCAGTGAGTCAGTGATTCAGTGTTTGAGTGATTTCAGTGATTCAGTGTTTGAGTGATTCAGTGAGTCAGTGAGTCAGTGTTTGAGTGATTTCAGTGATTCAGTGTTTGAGTGATTCAGTGAGTCAGTGATTCAGTGTTTGAGTGATTTCAGTGATTCAGTGAGTCAGTGTTTGAGTGATTCAGTGATTCAGTGATTCAGTGTTTGAGTGATTCAGTGTTTGAGTGATTCAGTGATTCAGTGTTTGAGTGATTCAGTGTTTGAGTGATTCAGTGATTCAGTGAGTCAGTGATTCAGTGTTTGAGTGATTTCAGTGATTCAGTGAGTCAGTGTTTGAGTGATTCAGTGATTCAGTGATTCAGTGTTTGAGTGATTCAGTGTTTGAGTGATTCAGTGATTCAGTGTTTGAGTGATTCAGTGTTTGAGTGATTCAGTGATTCAGTGATTCAGTGTTTGAGTGATTCAGTGTTTGAGTGATTCAGTGTTTGAGTGATTCAGTGATTCAGTGTTTGAGTGATTCAGTGATTCAGTGATTCAGTGTTTGAGTGATTCAGTGATTCAGTGTTTGAGTGATTCAGTGTTTGAGTGATTCAGTGTTTGAGTGATTCAGTGATTCAGTGTTTGAGTGATTCAGT